ATTGGTCACCAAATCTGGGAGAAGAATAACGTTCTGAAGAGGAGCACTTAGTAGCCAAGGTGTTTATTGCTCAACTGCTAGACCTGGAACTGAGTCTAAATACTCACGAGATGTTCCATACAATGTATCAATATCATTATGCAAGTAACTAAACGTCATAGCCTCAAATCATTACAATGTATTTGTAATGTAACTTTACAGTAAATTTTTCTGCATAATAGAGTAATTTACTGTTTTTTTGCAGTATAATTTCAAACATGTGTTATGAAAACATGAAACATTAAATATACTTATTTTCAGTGCAATCTTTATGAGGCTGAAAAAGTGGATGGCAACTTATGCGACAATCTCTGTATTGACCGAACAATTCGCTACAAATCCTGTCTATACTACTCACACGGTAAAAAAGTCATCCTTGCAGAGTGGAATCAAAAGGACATTATTGTAAAATCAAAATATGAGAAAATTAATGAGTACTTCCCCATCATCTATAAGATTGAAAAAGATGACTTGATTTTCACCCAAGCACCGGATATGAATCTGGTACTTAGAATGGTACAAGATAAAGTGTCCGACAGTCTTGGGTTGAAGGAAAACATTGATCAGACTGACTTGTTGAAAAAGATGTGGACCAAAGATGTTGAGGATGTTGTTACTATGACAACAGCTGATAAAACAAGTTTGTGGATGCTACTGCAGCAAGATGAGTATCTATTTATGAAGTATTTCCAGAATAAACACATGCCACAGATTTATGGATCCTGTGGATATTTTTACGCCATGGAATATCTCCCTACAGGAAATATTCTGGATCCACGGATGTTAAGCATTGAAGATAACCTGGATTCTGCTCCATGGATGAGAAGACATGCAATAGCACAGGGAATGTTGGAATTAATTTGGGATCTAGACAGATCTTTTCATCAGGTCATGCACTTGTGTGATGTAAAGGCTGAAAACTTGGGTGTGCGCAGTGATGGAACAATAGCTGCTATCGACGTTGACATAGCTTTCTTAGAAAGTCAGATGCAAGGGATTCTGAATCAACCCAATTGTACTACTCACAGTGATTGCGATTTCTTTGATTGCCTGGGAATCTGTGATTTTAGAATCAAGAAATGCAGTAGTCAAAGACGAGATAATAATTTACAGGTATATATTGCCACGAATATTATATAATCTACTTGTATCTATAGGTTTACTGTAATCAATGATCCCCCCCCCCCCTCCATGTCAAACCATTGTCAAAGTGCCATGCCAACTAGCTGACAATCTTCAGTCACAGATCTTGTGCGTTAATTGTTGATAGTGCACTACTTATATTTCTCTATTTCTAATAGGCCCCCTCCTTTTTCTGTATACAGCATAATTGTTATATTTTTACTATTAAGAGGAAATCTAGATTGCTGCTAAAAATTTTCCATTTAAAGCAAGACAAATTTGAGATAACATGTTCCTTATGTAAATACTCATTTTGAAAGTGGTTAAATGAATAAATTTTCAAAAACTCTTCAGTTTAGTGTTCTTAAAATTAAATTACTTATTTTCTATGATTATTAACCAGACCGGTGTTCTTCCAAGATTTTATTAGCAAGATGCAATAAAAAAACAAGCCATGCATGGCACAGTCCCTGTTAGTTATCAAATTTAAGATATATAGTTTTGTTTATAGTAATATAGCTGGAATATAACCATGTCAGGAATATGATTTTTTAACATTAAAATGATTGACATTTGTATCTAATTGTCAAACAAGTACTTGTCCTTATGAGAGATATTGCTCTGGAACAGCATTCAAAATCAGCCATTTTGAATACATGTATATATATATATAACACATGATGTATAACGAATATATAAAATTTGAATATAATCAGTCAAAGCAATTAAGAGATATGGCTCTAGAAGGCCAATCATTAAAACAAAATGGCCGCCAGTCAGCCATTTTGAATCCAATCTGAAAAATAAAATGACGTGCAAGTTTGAACGAAATCCATCCATAAATGCTTGATATTTGATGATTTTTTAGCACAAAAATGACCATTTGGCCATTTTGAATATGATCGTCAAACCAATATATCTGTTTATCTGACATGATGTATAATGAATATTTAAAATTTGAATATAATCAGTCAAAACAAGTCTGAGATATGGGTCCAGAAGCCCATTCATTAAAACAAAATGGCTGCCAGACAGCCATTTTGAATCCAATCTGAAAAATAAATTATGTGCATCAGGAACCTGTAATGTCTAATATATGTACCAAGTTTGAACGAAATTCATCCATAAATGCCAGTCGGCCATTTTGAATCTTATCTGAAAAACAAAATGATTTGCATCAAGGTCCCATAAATGTCTAATATATATACCAAGTTTGAACAAAATTCATCTGTAAACAGCCATGAAATGCTTGATTTTTAGCTAAAAATTGGCCGCCATTCGGCCATCTTGAATCAGATTGTGAAACAAATGGACGTGCATATGTATAATATCATGTATGTGTGAAGTTTGATTGTGATTGGTCCAGGCATTTCTAAGATACAGGTCTGGACGCACGCACGCACAGACACACAGAGGTCAAAACATAAGTCACCGTTTTCGGATTGAGTCCGAACGGGGACTAAAAAATACTCTTGGTCCAGAGCGCACGTCTCTGATTGCAGTCACAAGCTTTCATTAGGAACTGCACTCGCCCACTTAACTAAATTTATTTCAGTTTCTGCAGCATTGCTTCAATTCTGCAGAATTGGCCAAAACAAATTATTGAAAGTATCGCACGATTTGGTACCACCACAGAGGTCACTCCAAAATTACAAGGTAATGCAGCCATATTCAGAGATGAGTCATGACAACTGCTTTACAACAACCAGTATT